GTGGTGGGCAGACGGCACAGGCCACAGCCAGGCTGGAACACGCTCCCTGCTGTGGTGGGCCGGTAACATTCGTGCCCTCCTCATCCCTTCACTGGTTCATTCCCCGCAAAGGTCGTGGGGTTCAGGTTGGTTCTGGAGTCCTCCAGGCGACCCAGCCTCCTCCTTGCTGCCCAGTGGGGGCAGCCTGGCTCTCTGGGCTCCCGGGAGCCCCTGGGAATCGCCTCCATGGGGCCCAGCCCCACCCTCACTCATCCTTGCCGAACTCCTGCCCTGCACCAGGGACCAGGACTGAGGATGGCTGTGAGCGCCATTCCCAGCCCCAGGAAGTGCACGCCTGCAGCTGTCTAGTGGAACTGAGGATGCTGCAGGCCCATGGGGGTCTCTAGTGCTGTAGTCTATGCCTGCCACCAACTCTGCAGGCCAAGCAGTGACCTCGCTCCAGCCTCTGCCTGGGGCTGCAGAGACACCGCCCTGGAGCCTTCAATTCTCTCTGCAGAGATGACGAGGAGGCCGCCAGCCTCTGCTGCCCCTCACCAGGAGGGGTCAGGGCCCTCACAGCCAGTTCCCAAGGCATCCATGACTGAAAAAAAACTCCCAGGGCCAGGGCCCTTCAATGCCCAACACAGAAAACGGTCTCCAGAGGGGGCTTCCCCAAGGGGACCCTTCAACCCCCGGGGTGCTCGCAGCCTCTCCAGGGCCCGGCACGTTCTGTGCGTCGTTTCACCCTAGTATCCCCGCAAGGGGAGTAGGCACCAAGCTCAGAGATCCGGCCCCCAGCCTGGCCAGGCAGCAGCGCAGTGGACTTCAGGGTGGACCTCAGGGTGTAACTCTGGACCCCACCCCAAAACTTGGCACCAAAGGGGTCGGGGCAAAGCAAGGGCAGTGGCCTGGGTTTCCCATTCTGTAAAACTGCCCTGTGGGATTAACACCCGTCTGCCTCTGGACTGGGTTTCTCACGGTGTAAAATTACCCCATGGGATTAACACCCGTCTGTCTCTGGACTGGGTTTCTCACGGTGTAAAATTACCCCACGGGATTAACACCCGTCTGCCTCTGGTCAGAAAAGCCTCAGCCCACACCAGGCAGGCCCACGGCAGGTGGGAGGCAGGCAGGGCCCGTGGCGGTAAGGGTTGAGGACGGTGGCCAGGAAGCTGCACATGTGGGGGGCTCCCTGGGCCCACAGGAAAGACCTGCACCCCAGCCACTCCCGACTCCCAGGTGGGAGACGGCGTTTAGGAAGACAATGTCCGGCCTAGGCCCTGGAGAAGGTGGATTCCTTGTTCTCACGAGACACTCAGGGACAATGTGATGAAGGAACACAGGATTTCCCTGCACCGAGCCGTGTGTCCGGCCGGACCCCTGCAGCCCGTACTGCCTGGGAGGTGGGCAGGCGCGTCTGCATTTTACAGGGGCTGGGGCTCAGGGGTCCCATCACCCGTTCACGGCCGGGAACTGAGAAGCTGTATTTAAACCAGACCACATCCCAGCTGCCCCCCAGGCCCCCTGCTGTCCTTCCCCCACTGCCACGCAGATGCTTTACATTCTGGGATGTCTAGCGAATGTCAGGAAACCTGGAGGGTGTCAGATTTCCCCCTAAGTCCTCTCAACCTGAGATCCAGCCGCAAGGCTGTGGTTCGGCAAAAGCAACTAATTAACCTGCTCCCAGCGCCTGAGTCTGGCTAATTTGTTCTGCAGTTAACACGGGGCTCGGGAGGCCGGTGTGACGCCGGGGCTGTGCATCTTGATAATGAGGCAGCAGGAGCTCTGGTCCAAGAGCTCCCTCACACTGCACGGCTGGAGACACTCGCAGCAGGCGTGAGGATGCTGCCGCCAGGCAGGGAAGATCCACGCAACCCACTCAGAGTCCTGCGTGGGCTGCACTGGTGCTGGGGCCCTGGGACACCAGAGGAACCCCTTCCACCAGAGGCCTGTCCACGTCAGTCCCTGCTGGAGAGGCTAGGCAGGCGCGTGTCCAGCGTGACCCTCCTGGAAGGTATGTGGCTGGGTGGGGCTGCTCACCAGGGACTGCACACCTGGGTGGGCTGCAGTTCCTGCCAGGGGAGCCTGAAGTTGCCCACTTCACCCTGGCCTAGCCTGGCAGAGGGGCTGGGACGCCAGAGCAGCCGAGGGCCGCCTGCCTCTCCCAGCAGAGGGCGGGTCATCCCAGCCCCAGTCCCCTGACCTTCTCGAGTAGGTGAGCCAAAGGAGCTGCAGACCTGCGTCCTCCTGGCCCAGGAGCTCCGTCCTTAGAAAGGGCAGAGTGGGGAGCCAGACCCCCTCTGCAATGTTCCTGCAGGAGACGAGGGACTCCACACTGCATCCCAGAGCACCGGCCCCTGGCTGCAGGACGCGCCGAGTTCCCCTGCCCTCAGTGACCCTGGGCCTCACATCCCAGAGCCAGCACGCACGCCGGGCTCCCCCCACGCAGGTGCCCCTGGGGCACTGAGTATCTGGGTATACGGGGCAGATTTGGGCTCACTTTGCTTTGTCCTCAGGGGGTCTGGCTGGCTGGTTTCAGGTAGAAACAAAAGAAGCCCCACAGCCAAGTGCTCAGCTTCCTTCCCCAGCGCCTGGAGCCTGGGGTTCATCACCCCAGTGATTCAGGACCCCGCTAGCCAGCTCTGCAGCCTGTGTGGCTTCTAGGCAGCCCCTGATGGAGGGCGGTGAAGATGTGGACCCTGTCATTGTTCTGGAAGCGGCACTCACTGCACAGAGAGGCCCATTATTAGCGCCTCACTGGGTCCACCTGGCGCCCCACCAATTATCCCACACACCTGCGTAGTAAGGAGGCAAGGCCACCTGCCCTGGGCCCGAGCAGGGCTGGAAAGTTGTCGACACAACAGCCCCCACCTGGTCATCACACGCCGCTGACCGACTCAACAAACACAATAAAGACTGACCACGCGCTCCCCGAGGCGACGGCCGAGGCAGCAGTGGAGCAAAGCAGCCCCTTCTCTGTGCCTGTCACCAGCCCTGGGCGCCTGCCCCTCTTGGAATTTCCCCACCCCACCCACAAGGCATCCTGTGCTGGTCAGTGCCAGGGCCAGGGAGTAATTTGGGGCAAACAGGGGACATGTTATTCAGCGAGCTCTCCTCCAACTAGAGACGCCCAGCACAGTTCTGCACGCAGAGCCCCCTATTTAGAGAATCTGGAATTTGCAGCCTCCCACTCCACCTGCTCATCCCCCGCCCCCGTTCTGCAAGCAGAGCCCCCTATTTAGAGAATCTGGAATTTGCAGCCTCCCACTGCACCTGCTCGTCCCCCACCCCAGTCGGGTCAGTTCCTGCCAGGCCGGGACTGGCTTCTCTGAGCTGGCTCTCTACGCACGCAGCTTGCAGGGTGACCCAGGGATCCCTGGCCAACCCTGGAGCCCAAGAGGTTTTAAAGGATATGACCCCAGCTCAGCTCCAATTTTCCAGGCGCATGCACACCTCTGCCGGGAGGACACTCAGCGTTGCCGGGTGTCGTCTGCCCTCTCCCATCCGGGGGGCCGTGATCCAGGGATTCCTGCGGGGGCGATGTGGACGTCAGGGCTGGGACTCAGGGCTGGGAATCTGTGCTAGGGACCGTCCCAAGAATCCCAGGGTTTCCTGCGGTGGCGATGTGGACATAGAGTTGGGTGTCTGCACTGGGGACTGTCCCATGCATCCCACATTGGAACAAGCACAGCTGTCCCCAGACATCAAATGTCCCAAGGGGCAAAACCGTTCCTAGTTGAGACCATGCAGCGTGGCCCACACCTGTGACTCCCCAGCGTTTACCACATGTTCCCACCCCAGTCTTAAGAGGATGCACGTGTCTTTCAGACCGTTTCTAGACACGAGGGACACAGGAATGAGGTGGACTTAGCAAAACCAGCAGCAGCAGGGGTTGGGGCCCAGGGAGCTGCGAGCTGCAGGGCATCCGGAGGGCTGCCTGGAGGCAGAGCTATGGGCTCAGCTGCGCTCCAGTGTCCCATTCCCAAGGCCCCGGGGTGCCAAGGCCAGGACGAGGAGGGACCACTGGTTGTTCCGGCTCTGTCCCTCCTTCCTTAGCCGGAGGATGGGAGGCCTGGGAGAGGGTGTGTGAGCTGAGCAAGCAGGGGAGAGTCTGCACAGGGCCAGGCTCTGAGGGTGGGAGGGCCTACATGGGGCTGAAGCAGAGAACCCCAGCAGGCCCGGCCCTCAAGCGAACGTTGCTGAAGTGGAGCCTACCTCAAGGGGAGCCGCTGGGACCCCAGAGCACCGGTCTGGTGGGTCCCTTCCTTCAGGAGGCCACCGGCAGGGCCTGCAGAGGGCCCAGGGCTTCCTCTCCGCCCGGCAGCCGCGAGTGTGCTGTGGCCCTCGCAGCTCCTCTCCTCGCCACTTGACTCAGGCCTCAGGGAAACGGCGCCCGGCTCTGCACTTCTTGGTCACACCGTGCGCCTGCGCGCCCAGACCCCACCCACAGCCCCAGGTGCCGCCTCCTAATTAACCTGACACCTTCTACCTTGCGGGAAGCCGGCACATGTAAGGACTGGCAAACACGCCGACGTGTCTGATCCTTCCCATAACTGTGGGTGGCCACAGAGCTGTGTGCAGCAGTGGCTATTTGTCTTAAGGAGAAACACCCCACCAAGGGGCCTAAAATCCTCCCGGGCACAGCCATGCCCTGTCTCTGGCTCCAGGGGGGACACAGGGCACCGCAGCTCTGCTTCTCCAGGCTCCTCCAGCTCAACAGCACATCTGGGAGCTCACCAGGTCCAAGCATCGCCTCTCCTGGAGGGGGTGGCGAAGGCCCCTGTGGCTGCACAGAGAGCAAGCCCTTCTGTGCCCTCCTTAGCAGACCTGGCATCCCGTCTGGGAGAAAAGCCAGGCACAGGGCACCAGGGCACCTGCAGAGGAAGCTGCGATCGGTGACGTGATCTGAGCAGGAGAGATCTTCTGGGCCTGGAACCTACGGGACCCCAGCAGGGGAGGGCAGAAGGCCACACTCCAGAGGCAAAGGGGGCGATGACCAGGAAGCAGGAGGGGCTGGGGCTGGTATGGAGAGTGTGCCAAGGCGGGGTCTCCTCTGACACCCCAACAAGCTGGGTCCTGTGGGGCAGCAGCCAGCCTCCCCCTGTCCCCACGAGCCTGGCCTGGGCCTGTGGAGAGGTGGAACATGGTAGCCTGTGCTGCCAAATGCCCCGCAACCGCCCTCCTGCCAGCTGCGTCACCTGGTCCCAAGTCCATCTCAACTCCAAGGACCCACCAGAGGCTCAGGCCAGACCTCACAGAGCCGGCAGAGTCACGTCCTATACCCACCCCAGCCTGGCTTGCAGAGACAGCAGGTCCCAGCCTGACCAGGATGGCAACCTCCGCTCCAGGCAGGGTTCCCCGGCGCCGAGCCTCCGTTTCCCTGCCTGGACTGTGGGAGTAAGGTGAGTGCACACACCTGCCTGCTGGGTCACCTGGGAGCATCTGGAGAATATGCAACCCCCCCCGTCCTTGCTGGCATGTGTCCCTGAGGTCGGCCTAACACAAGCTCCACGGACAGCCTCAGTGCCCAGGCCAGGCCTGTGCCTCCCTCCCCCTCGTCCTGCCCATGGCCCTGAGGCCCTTACTCCCTGCAGCCTCCACACCAGCCCAGGCGTGGGTCAGGGACAGACACGGAGGATCTCCTGCCTCAGCTGCACCCAGGGTGTTAGTGCCTCATTTTGGATGAGCCAAGAAAGGAGGCTGCTGGGTCCAACAGGATGGAGTCTCCCACGACAAAGGCTGCAGTTTCCATCCTGCTACTCGCCCCCGTTAAGAAAGCTGCTCAGCCTCTCTGCAGCTGCCTGCTCTCCAAGCACAGCAGGATGGAACTACCTGGGGGGCAGGGCTGTGTCACAATTTACAAAAACCACCAGCAGCATCACAGGCACTCTGCGTGCGCTGTCGCGAACCCTGGCACTGGCCCAGCCTGCATGCGGCGGCCTCTGGGTACTGACGCATTTCTCCATCCTCGGCGCCTGTGGGGCTGCCTCCCCTGCCACCCCCAGACCTGCAGCTGCTGGGCACGTGCTAGCTCCGGGAACAGAGACGGAGACAACACCTCCTTCACTGTACCCAGACTCTTACTGCAGACGTTCCTGTCTTGGGAGGAGCCAACTTGGGAGGTCCGGGATGGTTCAGAAAAGACTGAACTTCCAGAAAAATTCAACTATTATCAGGTTTCTCCTGCCTAACCTTCTCTAGACACACACACGTGGTGCCAATGCCAAGCCGAGTGGAAATCATGTCTTCTGGCCTTGGTGTGTATCCTGGCAGATTACAGGAAACAGAAGAACCTGCAGGATCACCAGAGGGGTTGCTGCTGCCACAGTGAAGGAAGGGGCCCCGCGGCCATCCTTCCAATGTCCACGGAGCCCCCACAAAGCCACAGGACCGGCAATCCCACGGAGGACAGGAGGTCTCAGCACGGGGCTGGAGCAGCTGCAAGTTCCACAGGCAAAAAGGAAAAAAACGGTATCTAAACACCAATCTCACACTTTCACAAAAACCAATTCAAAATGGACCTGAGACCCAAAGACGAAACCCAATAATATAAAACTCCTAGACGTAAGCACAGGAGAAAAATCTATGGAACCTTGAATTGGGGGATGAGCTTTTAGAGAAGCATCAAATGCATACTGTATGAAAGAAAACCATTCGATAGATTAGATTTTACTAACATGACAAACATCTGCTCTGCAAAGACACTGTGAAGAGGATGAAAAGACAAACCGCAGACAGAGAGATGCTATTTGCAAACCACATACGTGATGAAGAATTATCTGGAGTGCACACACGAAAACCTTTAAGCTGAACAATACGAGCGCAGACGTCCCAATTACAACACGGGCGAAGGATGAGAATGAACATTTCACCAAAAAAAAAAGGCAAATATGCATATGAAAAGGTACTCAACATCCTCTGCCATCAGGAAACTTCAAATTGAACTAAGGAGGTAACCGCCACACACCTCCTAGAATGGCTCCATTCCAAAAACCAAAAAAATATCTAATGCTGGCGAGGCTGTGGCACACCAGGAATGCTCGTTCACAGCCGGCGGGGGTCCGAGATAATGCAGCCACTTTGGAAGGCAGCTTGGCAGTGTCTTACGAGGCAGAACGTACTCTTACTATACGATCCCAAAATCACACTCCTGGGTACTTCGCCAATCGATCTGAAAACTTCTGCCCACACAGAAAGCTGCGTGGGAATGTCTATAGCTGCCTTATTCAAATCACCCCAAACTGGAAGCAATCACGAAATTGTTCAATAGGTGAATAGGGATAAACAGAAGGTGGTCAGGTTCATACAGTGGAATCTGAACAACGAGATGCTGCCAAGCCACAAGAGACACGCAGAAACCTTAAACGCTTACTGCCGAGTGCAAGAAGACAGCCTGAAAAGGCTGCACGCGCTATAGATCCAACGCCGTGACTCTCTGGAAAAGATAACACTGCGGAGAGAGTCAAAGGAGCAGTGGTTGGCGGGGATTCTGGGGGGAAACAGAAAGGAATGAATAGTTGGACCCAGGGTATTTTTAGGGCAGAGAAACTATTCTGTAGGATGCTGTGATGGGGAACACACAGTGTCATGCATTTGCCAAAACCCCCACGATTCTGCTAAAGAGTGACCTTCAATCTATGCACATTTAAAAGATCATTTACTAGGTTGGGTATTCCAGGCAGGACTTTATCTGGCGCTGGAAGCATCTGTGTTGTAAATGTGTGAAATTACCTCTCTGAGGGAGCTGGGGAGAAAAGGAGCTCGCCGGCACGATTCTGGAAAGGGGTGAGATCTGTAAGACTAAAAGCAAAAGGACCTGATCGTAAGCACACTGCGCATGAGTTGATAAAGGTGCTTCCTGTAGGATACAGACTCAGGATTGCCACAGTGCTATACACGGACACGGACACTTGAACTGAACAGTGAGCTGCATGGCCGGTGGCCAGTGGCGGCCAGTTTCTCACTGTTGCAGTGTGAATTTACCGACAGGCAGGGGGAAGGGGCTAGAATAATCCACAGCGTGGTGACCAGAGTTGGAGACGCCCGCGTGAACTCTGCTTTAACCTCGACATAGATACGGTGGTTACACAGGGGCGTATTCAGGGCTGTGAATAGATGGGTGGATCCTACACATTCATGCGTCTCCTCCCTCTGTCAGCCAAGAGGGCTCGGAAACAACGAATGACACTCCATTAGCAACAAGGATGCTGGATGCCAAGACCAAGGTCTTTTTTTTTTCTCTTTGTTTTTTATGTTTGTTTGTTTGTTTGTTCTGTTTTTTTGAGACAGGGTCTCACTGTTTCCCAGGCTGGAGTGCAGTGATACAAATTTGACTCACTACAACCTCTGCCTCCTGGGTTCAAGCAATTCTCCTGCCTCAGCCTCTCGAGTGGCTGGGATTACAGGTGCCTGCCACCACCACCGACTACTTTTTATTTATTTATTTATTTTTTATTTTTAGTAGAGACAGGGTTTTGCCAAGTTGGCCAGGCTGGTCTTGAACTCCAGACCTCAGGTGATCCGCCCACCTCTGCCTCCCACAGTGCCGCGATTACAGGCGTGAGCCACCGCACGCGGCCAAGACCTAGGTTTCTAATACTACCCTGTGATGAAAGAAACCACACGCCCAAGGGAAATGGCTGTTTCTGAGACTAGGGCAGGAGCTAGACAAGATGAACCAGGCGTCGCTGGTGGTGCCAGAAAGTGGAGAAATGCTTGAAACGCGCAGTCGCTGATGAACTGTGCCAACGGAGCCCACCAGTGCCGGGGGGGAGCGCCCATGGCCAGAGCTAATGCACCTGGCAACCCGGTAAATAAAGCAGCCCTGGATCACAGCCTAAAGGACAAGCGCATCTATCAGTCCACACTGATATCAACAGTGCGAGTGACTGAATCGATTATGAAATGGGGAGAAAACGCACGTCCCCAGTGCTGAAGAATCCAAGGAGAGTGGATGTGCCCCGCTCGAGGGGGCGGCCTGTCCCTCCCCCTCTGTAAGTCAGCGCTGCGCTTAAAGACGCCCTTCCAAGGAACAGCCTATGGGAGAAAGAGCGACTTCGCGGGGCAGGAACCTGACCCACGCGACCCCAGGCAGGTGCTCAGGGCCAAGCACCTGACACTGCTGACAGCGGATGCCCCTGATAGGATGTGACAAGAGGGGCACTTCACTTTGGCATCTTCCTCCCAAACACCCACAGCCCGGGTCTAATCATGGGAAAAGCCTCAGATTCCAAAAGACGGTCATTTAGTAAAATACCCGACTTCCCTCCTCAAAACTGTCAGGGTCGTCAAAAATACAGATAGTCTGAGCAATGGTCAGAGCCAAGAGGGGTCCTAGGAGACGTGACAACTAACAATACCACGTGGGATCCTGGATGGGATCTCAGACAGAAAAAGGACAAAACTAAGGAATTCTGGATCCCACACAAACTGTAGCTGAAGATGACAAGCCCATGCCAGTTCTTTAATTGTAACAAACATGTATATGAATGTTAAAATGTCCTATTAGTAATTATTAGGTGAAAAGCAGGTGCACAGTATATGGGAACGTTCTGAACTGTCTTCAAGTTTTCTATAAATCTAAAATTTTCCCCAAGAAAACTGACCAAGGTCTGTTCAAATATCTGTAGGAAATACGAAGGGCACTAGGCTTTCTGACGTGCACGGTGAGGAGCCCAGCAGAGGCCTCGGGCCGCCATGCCAGGCTCTGATGCGGTTAAATGGGGTGTGCTGGGCCTGCTGGCTCTTCCTCCCGTACACCTGTCTGCAGGCGTTCCAAGAAAGATGCTGAGCCCCGGGAAGTTCACATCAGCCTGGCGCTCGGCGATGAGCCACCCCCTTCCTCCACCAACCCACGCCAGGAACCTGGCCAAGACACCTGCTCAAAAGGTGATACAGATACCAGTCACGAACACAGCACGGGCTACGTCCCGTCCCACAGGTCACCGCACAGGGCCACGCAACAGGCTGTGCTCATGGGCTATGTCCCATCCCACAGGTCACCGCGCAGGGCCATGCAACAGGCTGCGCCTGCTGGTGAAACCGTGCTCTTCCCACCCACCGCCGTCAGGGCATCCTGCAAGGTCAAAGGCGACAGCAGCAGTTCGGGCTCACCCCCGCCACCCCCTGCAGCCCACAGAACACATTGCTGCAGGGCCAAGCTCGCCTTCTTCTGGGGATTACAGAGAGACGGAGAGGGCCGTCTGGAGGTACGACCTTCCGGGCAGGAAAACCACGCGGTGAATGGAGCGAAGTGACCACAGGCCAAGGAAGTGAGCATGGGGTCTCCGCCCACCAGTAGCGTGCTTGGCTGTCATGGGCAGTCCCAGGTGGGAAGGGGACCCTGTCCACACAGCCGAGCCCCACGGGGGCCCTGTTCACACCTGTCGACAGGACTCCAAAGAGGCAGCCAACACGCCGAGTCAGGGCGCGGGGCCCGTCTGCTGGCAGAGGCGGCCACACAACTGCGGCTGCAGTGTGGGCTGCCCCACATTGACACCACCTCCTCCGGGAATCCTCCTACAGCCACGCCATTCTCCAAATACCCACAGCATTGTACCATGCAGGTGACAAGGACTCCCTCCAGGTGTAACTCTGGTCAGGCTCCTCCCAGCCCTCTTCTGGGCAGAGCCTCACCCTCAGCCAGCTGAGATCCCCTCCATGTCTGCTCCAACTCCTCATCCTCCTCCTGACACCAAGCCCAGCTCCTCAGTGGTCTCTGTCCACTCCTTCACTCCAGAAATCCCCAGTCCCCCGCCGTAGGGCAGCTGAGTGCAATCTCTCCCCACTAAGAGTCTCCAGTGGAGCCTTCCTTGCCGTTTTCTAACAAGAGTCTGGTGCAGATTCTTTTCTGCAACATGGGCAGGTGCCCGGCCAGGCCCGCCGAGGTGCCCAGGGCCTGCCCACCATGTGAAACAGTCACTCCCTGTCCTAGGTATCCCTCCCCTCTGGGTCACTGAAACATGGC